GCCGATACACTCCCCTGAGCACCTCACAAATTCACCCTCTTCAACGTTCAAATTTGTCAACTCGGCTCGCAATTTCGGCGCAACCGTTATATTGTTCAAATTGTCGTTCTCGGCGTGGAGGACAATAGCCATCATGTCAGTGCACCGAACTGCAATGTTGTCGTACTTGTTCAAGGTTGTCGAAGGTGTATAGTGTCTGTACCATGACCCTGTGAGCACCTCAACATCATCCCAGTTGTACACACTCTTCATCACCTGTTTCTGGTGTTTCATCGGCGCGAAAATGATGAAGGCCCAGTTTTCGCCACAGCATGTCATGAGGAAAGCGTACAGTTTGGAAAAGGCGTCATCATCCCACGGAACACATTTCGGTGATGTTGACATATCAATAATGGTTGCCCGAATCTTCATCCCCCTCGCCGTACCAACAACCTCCTCGTTGTCGGTGAGCACTCCCTTCGGTTCGATTTCAAATGGCAGGATTGTGGTAATCCTCTTTCCCACTTCCCAAAATATGTGACAAGCACTGGAGGATATCCGATTAACCTCCGCTCTCAGGTCGTCCAAACAGTCGATTGCCTCGTAGATGAAACACTTGAGGTGGAACGGGGTTTCCTTGTACATGCCTTGGGTTGCCTCCAGTCCCACATCGTTCTCACCATTAATCTCATTAGGATCGTCCAAACGCCTGGGCACCTTCCTCGCCTTGTCGTCAGGGATGCGGTCGCGTTCCTCGGTCCATTTCTCGTCCGTCAGGCACAAGAGGTTAACGGGGCATCTGGTTTTCAGGCCTGAAATTTTTGAAATTATGGTTTGGGCTCAAATTTCATGTTTTTTTAGAATTTTAAGTTTTTGCTATATATGCATTTTGGTAGGGTTGCCATATATGAAATTTGGGGTTATTTGGAGTTTTAGAATTTGCGCTATTAAGATTTCTGAAATTTCTGAAATTGGTCGAGTTTTTTTTGGGCCAAATTTCATGGAAATGCACCTTTGGGTTGCTGTTTTATATGTTTTTAATTGTTTTTTTTAGGTTTTTTTTTTTGTGATGGAGTCGTAAGAAGTGCACTCTATAGATTGGTGTGAAGTGTTGTTAAAATGACTGTCTGGTTTTCTTATAAATGGGCCTGAAAAATGGGTGCTCGGTTAACCTGCTCTCCCGTCAGACCGTTTTTGCTGTACCTTCCAAGATGGTCGTATAACCAATGAAAAAGTCAGCGCGCCACTCTTCTTTTGACCTCCCCTCGGCCTTGAACAATATGTAGTTGAACATACGGACCATATATCTTTCACGCCGAGTATATTTAACCAGGTCCGCCATGTTGCATCTACCACGAGRTACCGAACGTGATGTCACGATGACATCACCACGCATCATGTGGTGAAGCGCCACTTGCTTCTCTCTYGCTGTCATATCGCCGAACAGCTTGAAGATTGTCGGTGTCAAGTCAGGTATAAACACCGTTGCGCCTGGTGGCCCCTTCCTGGCCTTGATGCAGTGGAACATGACTTTTTTGCCGGAGTTATCCTTGAGGAAGTATTGGCCAGGCAGCCTCCCTTCCACTTTCCCCGACAGGTCGATGTATTTCACACCGTCGACTCGCGACAATAGCCCCTTGTCGTACATATCGAAGAATTTTTGTACTTGTGCCCATACTGTTTCGCCGCATTGCGCAAGATTCATGTATCCGCACATCTTGTTTGTCCAGTCCTTGCAGTAGTCGTTCTCCAGGGACGAGTTCATGAGACCGGAATCAGGTATCATTTTGCAGGCGGCGTTCATGAACTCTTCCCATTTCTTTTTCCGTTTCATTCCCTCAACGTCATTCGGGGACAAGGTCCCTGGCGGACGGATCCGGTCATTCCTCTTATCCCAAAATGTTCTAATTTGGCGCACAGATGACGAAAACGATCTAGGGATCGAACGCTCCTCCCTCGTGTTGTCGAACGTCGAGACGTACGGATATCCTCTCTTTCTGTCATCGTCAAAGTAGACAACACGTACGTGAGAGTACGACCTCAAGCCATACGCTTTCTCGGCCGGTGACTTGTCTTTAATGAGTCTGTTCATTGCCTCAGCTGTGTGCTAGCCAGCAATAGCATACCAGTTGTATGTATGAGCCAGTTCGACGTCGAATTGCTCCGGTGTGATCCGTTTGCCTGGAGACCCGTCCGTGTTGGGCACAATGGGAGTCAGGATGAAAGTCATGAAATCCCACTTCCCGTTGGTTTCCTTGGCCGCATGATGGATCGCATCATATATGGACTGCACCAACGTTTCGTTCAACGTTCTATGGTTGAAGAGGATGTCACCTTCAGGGATTGGCAAAATCTTCGTGACGTTCACTTCAATGTGTTCCCTTTTCTTCTTTGCAAACCCATCGTCATCGAACTCCAAGAAGAAGCACCGTGTTGTGTTGATGGCTTCATCACGGGTGTCGGCGGAAGGTTGTGTGTGCTTCGACATATCTCTTGGAGGAACCCCTTCGGCATCCTCTCCAGAGTCACCCTCATCCACCATCTGCTTTCTTGTCGATGGACGTTTCTCCGCTTTTGTCGCTCTTGTCGACGCGGACACTTTTCGTTTCTTTACGCTTTCAGCGACCGCCTCTTGAGAAGCTTTGAGCGCCTGTCGAGATGCAGCGACAGTGAGTTTCTTTGCAGCGCGTTTATCCACCGCCGTCGTTGGATTTGTTGAAGATTGTCGCTTCCTTTTCTGGACACTGGCCTCCGACCGCTCTCTTGTTGCGTCGTCGACCCCCACATCAGCCGACCGCTCTTGCCGTCCATCGTCATCACCTACAGGATAGGCATGATCGTTTTCTCCATCGCCCCCGTCGTCCTCCTTATAGTATTGTTGAGACTCCCCACCCTCGCAGTCGTGCATAGTTTCCTCATAATCCTCTCTCTCTCTCTCCCTCTCGCTGTTCTCCTCTTCGACGTCGTCCTCATCGACACCACATTTGTCATCGTCGATGGCATGATTACCCTGTGGATGTCGATCAACACACACCCTAGAATCGTCCTTCGTTTCCTCGTCTGATCCTTCGCTTATCTCCCGCAGCGCTGCCTTCCTGGACGTACCACCTTCGTCCTTCTGGCAACTGGGAGAGGGACGAGTTGGCAGGGCCTTCCTTTTGTATGTGATGACAAGGGTGCCTTGGCCTTGCCGGCTAGACGGTTGAGACGGTCCAACACACTCCATCCGGCGAGACGAACCCACAGGAGGACCATGCTCATCCTCGCCAGGTGGACGACGCGGCTGGCTCTGTTTGTTGCGGCGCCGGCCCCCACTCGCTGACGTCTGCTGCGTTGGAAAACTATGTGGCGTCCTCTGTCTCTCTGTCATTGCTATACCGGGAAGATCCTCGTTCGGCGTGTCAAAAGGCATGAATGTCGGGGATATACGATGGTCAGCCTCAACCGTGGGACTGTTTCCGGATCTCCTGTAGCCGTTCGTTTTGGCGAGGAATTTAACGGGGCCAAGCATCGTCAACACACTCTCATCTTCTTTCGGGGACACATCGAAGGCTTTCATGGTAATAGCCTTACCGCCATACCCCTTGAACAGATTGTAATCAAGGCTTACTTTACGGTCGGCCTTCGCATGGTCCACTCCTTGTTCGTCGAGCACCGTTGTGAGGAAAAACCTCCTGAACTTCCATCCATGCCCGTCCACCCTCTCATCCTCGGATTTAATAATCTCTCCAATATAGAACCAGTCGTCACCCGAGGCGTTCTTCAGAAACACAGCGGCCCCACATCCCGCCTCGTGTAGCCCCCCCACCCAATCAAGGGCCCACTCCCTATCTCTATAGATTGTGCACGTGTTGTAGACTTTCTTTTCTGGGACAGCAGGTGCTCCTCCTGATGGCAGGCACATTCCAAACGAAGGAACAGATCGCATTCAGATTTCAAACCTTCCACCTTCGCCTCACATGAGTCGCCGACGCATTCGAGCGTCGTATGGTATAGGGCGTTCTGAAAACGCCCTACCCCGTCTGGTTCCGCGAAGCAAGGCCGAGGGGGCACGACGTTTCGAAAACGCCACACCCCGTCCGGTCATCGGAGACGAGAGGGAGCGGTGATACAGCGATCTCGAAGCGCCGCACCCGTCGGCCGTGTCCACCTACGGGGCCGGGCTATGGCATTCTGGGAACGCCATGCGGCCCACCTCCCTATCCTCTCCAAGAACTGGAGGGGGCACGACGTTTCGAGACCGCCGTACCCTTGCTCCCACCCCCACCGAGAACCGGAGGGGATACGGCGTTTCCAAAACGCCGAACCCCCTGGACCCTGTTCACATACAGGTCGGAGGGGGCACGACGTTTCGAGAACGTCTTACCCCCGCTCCCACCCCCCACAGAGAAGCGGAGGGGGTACGACGTTTTCGAAACGCCGCACCCCCTCGACCCTGCTCACATACAAGGGCGATAAGGTACGGCGTTTTGAAAACACGGTTCCCCTTTCGGTTCTCGGTGGGGGCGGGAGTGGGGGTACGACGTTTCGAGAACGCCGCACCCCCGCTCCCACCCCCACCGAGAACCGAAGGGGGTACGGCGTTTTCGAAACGCCGTACCCCCTCGACCCTGTTCACGTACAGGGCC